TAGTAATTAGTCAAAACACTGTTTATCCTCATCTGAAGGAATTTGATTTGAAATCTTAATTATGTATCAATGAAGTCTCTTAACAGTTCTCTTACAACTTTTCACAAGAACTGTAGAAAAGTCTACTGTGTGGGTGCTTCCATAAATACCTCAATTTTGACCTCTTCAAGCCAAGTATTAATAGTTAGATATCCTCCCTATCCTCATAATCTCTATTTCTTCCCACCTTCTCTTCTACTCATATTTCATACTGCACTCATCATTAACATTCCAACAGTAATACTCTACTTTGAGTGGCTCTTGAGTCTTTGTTGGGTGAAATTTTGTAATTATTATCAAAACATTTTTGTTATTGTGTTCTCAGGTCTCTGTTGATCCAGGTAAACTTCAGGAAATTTTAAACTAAACCCTTTATTTTATTTAATCTACAGGTGTGATTATTTTATTTAATCTACAGGTGTGATTATTCTTGTTTGTCTGTCTATGTCTAGTGGTATCTCAGCTTGTTTATTTTTGTACTGCTCAGTTATTGCTAGCCTTATTTCCACTGTTTGAGTCTGAACTACCTAGACCAGGGATTGAACTCACAATTACTTTGCCACATGATTCATGAACCAATACTTTTAATAGCCATAAATAATAATACATCATGCCCAACAATTAATGTGTAACAATATCACATGTTAGGTGAATATAACATTATAGTCACCACTATAACAGGAGAGAGCTATGGTAGAAAGGTTTAACCTCCCATCTACCTTTCCCCTATTATGGGCATTATTATATCAATGATATAATAACACTGTATTTCATGGACGGAATGGAATGACTGAAAGGAAAATGAATGACAAACATGCTTTGTTCTCAGAGAGACTTTTATACCACTATGACATATTCAAGACTAAACCATATCTCACAGAAAGAAAAATATATCTCATATATCCATGGCAAGCAGAGTATAAAGGAGAATGAAAAGATAGGGTCTTACATAAAATATGGAGATTCTTCTGTGCTTCTAGGGAAGCCATGTTTAGGACTCCTGATTCAAGTGGACCAGATTCATCTATTGGGTTGGTGCAAAAATAATGTCGTTTTTTGACGTTTAGTTGAACGTCAAAAAATGACATTATTTTTGCACCATCCTAATACTATGTCCCACGTGAGGAAATATTCTGTGGATAGGAAACAGCAAGTTTTGGGTTTTCCCAAATTAAGGATTGCAAACTGGAGTTTCCTTCTCTATCTGGGAAAGATTATGAAGTTAGCTCCACTTACTTTCTTGAAACCACTATCAGGGAACACTTACTGGCACTATAAATACTCTGTGATAATTCTTTGTTGCCTCTTTGTAATTTTTCTGCTTACATGTCAACATGTAGGTTTCTTGCAGAAAAACATGTTTCCCATGAAAATGCATGAACAAACCACATGCATGTATGTCCATTCATTCACTTGACATCCATTGAGCAAAAAAAGGTTTTCACATTTACACACATCACTGTCACTTGTATATCTTTCTTGTTAATAAATTATCATTTGTTTGTACATGTGTTGTTTCTTTGCATTTATTCACGTAGACTCACATGCCAAGTCTGCCATTTTTGTTGTGGGTATTCCAGGAGACATGTTTCTTTCCAATTCAAACGCTGATATTACATACTAACAATGCCTGCAACAAGACATATTCCCAAAGCTGTTGGGGAGGTAGATTTATCATCTTTCCAGGTCATTAGGAGCCCAGATTAAAGAAATCAAGTTCTTGGTTTGGCTACTGTAAACTGACAAAATGACTAGCCACTTTTGTCACTATATGAAGTGACATAACTAATTGACTGCAATGATAATCGTCTTCTATACCCGTACACTTTAATCCTCTTGGCTATTATCTTGTGGGACCAACAGATACCTGAAGAAAACTGAAAGGGACAATAACTGAAATGTTATGATACTAACAAAAAAGATGAGGATAATAGTGAATAAAATTATGAAAATATTAATAAATGTTAATCCCAGGAATTCAGATGAAAATAAAAACATTTCTTTTACTTAAAAATCCCATTGTTTATTGCTGTCTTAATCGCTGCCAAACACTTCATAATCATAAAATATGTCATACTCTGATTTAATTAAATAAATTTAATTGATTTTGTTTAAATAAAAGCAACAGTTCTTTGGGAGAAGCTATCCAAATTGAACTTCTTCTTTACTAAAGGAATACAAAGGGAATGAAGACTGCAAAAAAGACTGGGCATTTCCAAAACTGATATGACAGGTGTATTTGATTTTCAACCTGATCAGTCTTTTTGTAAAGCTAGTGCATAGTAGTAGGAGTCAGATACTTACTAGAGCAGTACAGGGAACTGAGAATTTTTCAAGCATGTTTAGCAATGGATCATCCTTGAGGTCTGGAGTAAGTTTAAGTACCAATAGGTATTTGAAACAATGGGCCACCTTGAGAGGACACCTGTTCATTGCAATTGATGGAAATTCAGGGACTGCTTGTTGATAATAGAATGGTTTTCAGTATTGAATATGATTATGAGATTTAGGACACAGAAGAGATCACCTGCCTGACTTTGGTCATCTATATTTTTGCAGGTGCACCTATATACTGTTATATCATCTGCATAGATATTCATAAGAAATCAGAGTATGATCTTTAGCAGATCATTAATATAAAGCAAGAAGAGGGTTTGATGGAGAAACCAACATTGGAGAATGCCTGCATTGATCTTGTGGGCCTTGGAGGACTGGCATACACTTGACATATTCCATAGCTTTCAGAATGATTTCTCCTTTAGGCAGTAGTTGAATAATTTTATTAATATTGGAGATAATTCATGGCTAATATTCTTAACCACTGGGATTTTATCTGAACCAGTCGGCTTCTTAGAGTCAAGTCTCTTTCCAGGCTATGATAGAAATATTATTTTGTGCTCTGTGAGAGTGGGGAAGTCAGGAAGATGATGGCCCATATCATCTAAGGTGAAGTTAGAGGCAAAGATCTTTACAAAAAACTTTACCTTATCTGACACTTTGCCTGAGAATTTGGTTAGAAACCTTCCAGAACTCACAGAATCCATCTGCTTTCAACCTTGGGTTTGACTGCTTGTGTATAACTGCACTTTGCATTTTCAAGAATTCACATGCAATAATTGTGGGCAGATCTGAATTCTGCAAGTGTCCTGCTAGACCATTCCATGTGATGGATATTGTAATAGCGGTTACAGTGAGGTATGGCTGCAGCACATTTTTTTTTCTGCTATTTTCTCTGGAGTTTAAAACTTTCCATGCCAGAAAGGATCCTTTTTAAAGAATTATTCTCTTGTGTCATCAATGCTTCTCCCACGAACTTCCAGACATTGGCAATCATGGCTCTCCACAACTTTCTATCCTTTGTAGCTGTCAATTAATTTCATCTCTCTTGAACCCTGCTCTGCCATCCATTCACACAAGCTCACCATGTATGTTATGCATTGTTATCTTCTCTCCTACTTGCCTTTGATCTATCCTGTGAGTTTAAAATTTTCCAAGCCTGCTTTCCTCATTATGTGCCCTAGAAATTTCAACTGGATCTTTCAGATGTTGAGTATAAATGTCCTTTTTGTTTCTATTTTTCTCTAGAACTTTGCTGTTTTGCATGTTCAGTCCAGGTTATTGTCAGTATTCTTTTATAGAACCACATTTCTGTTGCCTCATGTTGCTTCTTCATCTGTGAGAAGATTGTCCAGCATTCACTTGATGTTTTATCATTATTATCAGTATTTGAGTTTGTATTGCTTTTTAGAGATCTTTGTAAAAATATTGTTTTCCATTCTCATACAAAGCAGGATCCAATTTTAGTTCAGAAATAGTTTGGAAATAAAAAGAAAATCTTCCAATTCTAAAATCCAATCATAATAAAACTTGTAGTAAATACTTTAAAACTTGCTTTAAACAATGGAAAACTGGCATAACAAAAAGAATCAAGTATAAAAAAAAAGAATAAAAAATAAAAACAGTTTATTACTAAAAGGTAAAGCAGCCAAAATTTGAAAACAAACACTGCCACTTACATTTTGAAATTACTTTTGAAAAATAAAAATGTTATCAAGAAAATATGACAACATTCATCTTTATGTGTTATGTCTCCTCAAGACATAGGTGATAATGGCTCTCCACAATTTTCTGTCCCTTGTAGCTTTTAACAAATTTTATCTTTTTGTAATTTCTCCTAAACCTTTTTTTGACATCCATTTAGTCATCCTTACTAAGTAGATTATGCATTGTTTTCCTCTGTCCCTCAATCTGTCCTGCGAGTATCAGATTTTCCAAGCCCTCTTTCCTCATTATGTGCTGTAGAAACCTTTTCATCCTTTTTGTTTCCATTTTTTCTAAAACTTTGTCATTGCTCATATATTCAGTCCATGGTATTCTCAGCATCTTCTGTAGAATTATATTTCTATTCCCTCATGTCTCTTCATCATCAGTGAGGAGAGCATTTACTGCCATATAGGTGTATTAAAATTATGTAACAGTTCAGTACTCTTTTCTTTGCTTCTAATGAAATTTTTCTGTTTCTTAATACTTTGCTTAACTTAGTGAATGCTAATGGCTGATGAATTCAAATTCAAGGAATTTTACTTCAGAAAGAAAATTTTACAATGTTTGTGTTGTATATGACTACAAAGTGATTAAAATAATCTTATATATATATATCAAAATTCTGAAAGGAAGTAATTTTGCAAAAACTTAATGAAAAATCTTACAATTAGCAGCTGAAACACATTAAGAGAGACTGTAAACGTAATGATTAAAAAATAATAATTAAAAGTAGAAAGGCAACATTGAATTGAATATCACTGGGAGAAAAGAAAAACAGTAAGGATTATATTAATTGTTTTCTAATTAAGTGTTTTTTTCTATGAGGATCCATATCTTTGTTGTTTTGATTATTTTTTAATTAGTGTGCTGTCACACTTTTGTTCAGTCAGAAGTGCAGAGCATCACATCAGCTTTGAATGGATAATCTCTCTCATCAGTTTAATTCTTTTCTTTTTTTTTTAGCTTTTCATTATTTAATTATAATTTTTCAATTATAGGGATTATCAGATCGCATCAGGAGTCATGTAATGAACTGGGTTATCATAGCACCACAAGTACTGTTGTGTATCTAGGGCAGTGGTTCCTAAGTGGTGTGGTACACCTTATAGGTGTGGCAGAAGAGGATAGCAAGTGAGGTGAAATGATTGAAAGACAATCAAAGATTTAGAAACAGTTTCAAAAAATTCATATGCCAGAAATAAATAGGATTTCAAAATTTAAAATATTATTATGGCTTATTTGTAATTGCATGGATGAGTCCCTGTAAAAATAGTGATAAATAATTATTGACTGATTTCATCATTGTGATATTTTTACATTATATCAAGTACTAGCAGTAGAGCCCGGCGTTGCCCGGGGATGTAACAGTAAGAGATAGATCAAGTATCGACCATTATAAAACTGAAAAATAAAATTGACAAAGATTATTGTTTAAGGTTGACGGACACGCATGTCTTAATTAGTTTTTTTTTTTTTTACGAATTGGCCAAACCCAAATTCAAACAAAAACATTGTTTACAATCGTTATGAGTCTATCGATTGGTGAATAGAATTTTATTATAAACAATTGTCTTGTAAATGGAATTTTAAAGCATTCTGAATGTAAATAAAGAAAAAAGTGTGCAAGACAATAAGAAATACTACCTGCCGAAAAAAAAAAGTGGATGTTTGTTTTATCGGCTGAAAATGTAAGAAATCCGATCCCATATATAAAGGAACACACACACACACACACACACATAAACAACCTGGGTTTTTTAACCTAAGTCACTCCACGGAATCACTAAAACATAGAGCATAGTCTGATGAAAAAGACGCCAAAGTTTATGAAAACAAAATTTTATCGTCAAAATGCTTATTTTTTTTTATGAAGAGGATAGACTAAATTTTTTTTAATTATTTTTAAAATTTTTTCCATCTTTTAGAATATTCTAAATTTTGATTTAAAAACTTTGTTTCTCTTTTGTCGCAACAAGGGGTAGTTAAATAACATAGATAATTTTTAGCGCATTTTTTTGTATTTACACACATTAATTTGGAAAATCTTGCAAAAATAAAAATAATTGTCAGATGTTAATGAAACTTTCAGAAACTATTCACAGATGATCGAAATTATTATAAATATTTTTTTTTTTATTAAAGTCATGCCAGAAATATTTTTTTATATTTATTAACAATAACTAATTTTATGAAAAACTCTAGAAATTCGAGACCATCGGTTTTAGTGATTACAATAGTTAAAAGCACAAGGCTTTGAAGAATGCAAATCATGTTTTTTTTTTTTTTTGTTTTTTTGGCCAACGTACCTGAAAATCAGCTGTGAATTGTAACATACAAAACTCAATAAAACAAATATATTATTTAGTTTCAAATGCTTTTTATTTGTTTTAATTTGTTTTATGAATATGGACAATATTTTCTGAAAGCAAAAAATTTTTTCAATGAAAATTGAATTTTTAATACAATTATTTCTTATTTCTTTAATTTTAAAAAGATTTTAAAAAAAATGTTTAAATTGAATTTTAAAAAATATTTTAACATTAAAAGCAACATCAACCTTTCAAAATGTCCGTGTGAGATTGTCATTGTCTAGCGCTTTGAAAATTGTATAATTTGGACCAATCAGATTAGCCATGGTAATTAAGAAATGTAATTTTTGTTTTTATAGTCGGACACTAATTATCAAGTACGGAAGACCAACCAGAATACAATTTAGTTGCATTATTTGAGTTCAGCATTGTTCTCCTGTTAAAGCCCTTTACTTTTGCGAAACACGTATGGAGAAGTTAATTTGAGTTTTCAATTTCAACTGAGAAGGGTAACTACAAGTAACAGTATCATCTTACGAAATTTAACTACTGCTAAACTTTAATTTATATGATCTTATTTTTATATTAATCTCAGTTATGACATTTTTTCATAAATGAAATATCAAAATTAATAATAAAATGAATGAAAATACAAATAACACAGTAAAATGTAATAAATGTACATAAAATTATAGTATTTTATGTATATTTTCTGATAAAATTTCATAAGAAAGGTACCTAAATTAATTAGATACCTTTTTCTTATGAAATTTAATCTCACTATTAACAGTCTTACTTTTTAATTTCTTTATATTTTCCATAAAGCATCGTAAACATAAAAATGAAAGCTAAGTACAAAAAATAAAAAAAAAAAAATTAGAGCGCTGAAGGTTTTCCTTAAAAGTAACAAGGTAAATAATTTGTTCACTTAAATAATTTCACTTCCTTCCATCCGTAGAAAGAATTCTCCTCCCGTAACTTATCTAAACGTCATGAATGTGCCTTTCGTCAAGCGACGCGAAATGTTATGACCTGCTTTGTTTTATTTTCAAATTACATTTTTTCGGCTCAGAAGCTAGGTTCAAAATATTTTAAATAAACAGTATAATATCTGTTTTTATTAAAATCAGTTTTGAAAAAATGATAATTGACTTTTAAAAGAATATCAAAGTAAGATTTTAATCTTTTTTATCAAATCGAAAAAAATGTTTAAAAATGATTATCTGCCCTTTTTTTTGACCAAAAAAAAAAAAACAATATTTTTAACGAAAATTTCAGACGTGCTAGAAACGATTAAAAAATGTAAAAAAATACCCCCAAAATACTTTGATCTTTCCTCTTTAATAATATGAACATTTAGACGATAAAATTTTGTTTTCGTCAAGTTCGGCGTCTTTTTCATCATGCTATGCTCTTTTGTTTACATTTTCGTGGGTGAGTTCTCCCCCTTTCATTATCACGATGTGTCTTAATCGTGTTTTCAAATTGATTTCCTGTTAGAACCACCACAAGGTAATTTTATGTAGTCCTGTGAAGTTTTGTTGAAATCTGCTAAAAAATGTAGGAAATTCGATCCAACATATAAACGTTACAGACACACACACACACACACACACACAACCTGTGTTTTATAATAAGTAAGATTAAGTAGAGTCCACAAATTGGAGGAGAAAGTTATCAATGATAAAGTTCTGACTTTGAATCTGCAATTATCTCCCTTTAACCGTCTCTCCATTTTTTATTTTTAAATTTAATATTTATCACATAAAATTTGGTGAAGTATGAGAAAATTTGCATTTCAAAATTGCAGCCCAGAGAAAAAAGTTTAGGTACCACTGATCTAGGGCAAGATACCCAGATGGTAGTCCATGCCTCTTCAGGCTGGTTTTGAGTTCAGTTTTTCTTTCTCTTAGTCTGGTTGTCAGGCAAACTGTGAGAGTCCAGTCTGTTCTGCTACTTAACCAATAGATAGAGGAAAATGAACTTGTGCTTTTCCCAAGCACATTAGCAGTAAGTGAACAAAAAAAAATCAATTGGAATTTTAACATGGCGTGCCAATTTTACTTTCCACACAGATAACCATTTCATTACATGCAGATCTCAATTGGTAAAAGCAAAAAACAAAAAGTGATATAAATTTCAATAAGATTCATACTTGACACTTGTAATAAAAGTTACAAGTGCATCTTTATTCTTATAATTGAAGTGTTAATGTTAGTTAGTAAAAAACACAACAGATATAATTTATAATAAAAGATTCAGAATATGAGGATCAATACATTGTGGAAGCAACTCCTAAGAGGATGCTTTCCTGAAAACTACTATCTTAACCTATTCAAGTCTAGGATCAATTAATATCTACTTTCAACAACCTTATTTAGTAACCTCCTACTTTGAGTGGCTCTTGAGTCTTGTATTGTGTGAACAACAGTAAAAATAACTAAAAAATACTTGCAATATAAGATACATAATACACTTAAAATATAACATTTAGAAAACACTTACAAGCTTCATAACATACAGTATAATAAATTATTAGATCATTGCAAAAGTTTGTGTCCAGTTAGAAAATTAAAAACAAAATTTTATATTTTACATTTATTAGTCAAGTACGTTGTTTCCCTTGGTTTTAACAACTGTCTCCCATCATTCTACAAGCTTGTTGATGCCATTTTTGTAAAAATTTTGTTTTTCTTAGAAGAAAATTGTGAGGTAGTTATTGACTGACAAGTACAAAGTCAATTTTTTCTCATTTAAATTGTCCTGTCGAGACCTAAACAATGAAAATCTAAACGATTTAAGCAAGGAGAATACCGTTGGTGCTAGAGGATTTCTCATTTCATCTTTTTAAGCTTCTACAAGGTCTGCTTTGCAACATACAGTTTTGCATTGTCCTGGTGAAAAATAACACCTTTTCAATTTTGCAAAATTTTCTATTTTTCTTGAACCTAAGTTTCTTCAAATGGTGACCTTATAGAAGCTTAGACAGTTGAGATATCGATTTTCCAATTCTTAGCAATCTCTTCCATTGGAATCTTCCGTTTATTCTCCACAATGGCAAGCAGAGTGTTTTCTTAGACATCAGAATATTGCCTGGAGCATGGATGATAATTTAGGTTAAAATCACACTGACAAAATCGACCAAATCACTTTCTGACTGTCCAAAGAGCAGGATGTGATCCAAATAAACTTTCTGAATGATTTTAGTTGTATTAACAATGCTTATTCCTTTCCAAAATTCATAGTGTATAATATGGCAAAAGTGCAACTTTTCATCCGCCATCTTTAATGCATACATTTCTGGACAAAATATTAACATTCAACAAATTTGGACTCATAACAAAACAATTAAAAGTTTCAATTTAGAACATACCATAAATTGGTACCAAAACCAATGCCAGTGTCATTTTATATTAACAAGGAAAATCAGGCACAAACTTTTGTAGTGATCCGATATAATACACTTATAATAAAAATAACCAGTGTAGGATTTTTGTTATTTGGATTTGTGAAAAGTTTTAAATGAAGTTAAAAAAATAAAAAAAGTGATAAGGATTTCTCTTTAAAAAAAATTATAAAAAGCTTTAGATATGAATACCAAGTCTCAGGCTGCAGTTTTAGATATCTGGAAGGCTTTTGACTGAGTTTGGCATGCTGACCCACGTCACAAGCTTAATAAATGGCTCTGTTTCTATATCTTTTTATATAATGTGGTAGTCATTCAGAGCTCTGTCATCAAACCTATGTTGTTTCTTCATCTTCATCAATGGCCTTCCCAATGTCATCATTTTCCAACTAGGTATTTATTCTGATGACAGTTATTTACTCTTAATAGTAAATCTGATATGTGCGACAAAATAAAACTAGCAGCTGCTCTCAAAAAAGAACGCCAATCAGTTGTCAACTGGGGCAATAAATGACTTGTAAATTTTAACACCTCCAAAACAAAGCTACTAATATTTAATCATCACAAGAACATTTGTTTCCTTCCGTAAGCATAGCTGATGCTAAACTCCAGGAAAGCAACTTTTTCTTGGTCTCACATTTTCCACTCTCATGAAAAGGAGCGATTATATTAAATCAATGTCTGCTTCTAGGAAAGTTGGTTCACTGTGTCATGTTAGACAATTTTTCTTGTCAAAATTCCTCTTGCACATTTATAAATCTACCATTCATCAGTGCACTGAATACTGCTGCTGTATATCATTGGCAAAATCCAAAGTAGGGTCTGTAATGTTATCGATCTTGACATGGCATCTCAATTCCAGTCACTTTCCCACTATCGTGACATGTCTTCCCTCTGTCTTTTCTTTCAATATTTTCATGACAATTCTTCTAATGAGCATTCCTCCTTAGTACCTTGACCTAGTGAATGACTGGATTGGCAACAAAGTCTCATCATTTTACTGTTGAACTAGCTAGATGCAACCACCACTTCTATTCTAATAGTTTCTTTGCTTGAAATTATCAACTGTGGAACTCTCTTTCAGTTTCTTACTTATCTGCTACCTACAATTTTCAAAAATTAAAATCACCATCTTTTATTTTCCATTTCTCTTTGTTTCTTGTTCCTTCTCATCTCTAAAGCCTTTTCATTCTCTTTCATTCTCATCACTAATGCCTTTTCATTCTCATCACTAAAGCCTTTTCCTTTTCTTTTATTCTCATCACTAAAGCCTTTTCATTCTCATCACTAAAGCCTTTTCATTCTCATCACTAAAGCCTTTTCATTCTCTTTCATTCTCATCACTAAAGCCTTTTCATTCTCTTTCATTCTCATCACTAAAGCCTTTTCATTCTCATCACTAAAGCCTTTTCATTCTCTTTTATTCTCATTACTAAAGCCTTTTCATTCTCATCACTAAACTCTTTTCATTCTCTTTCATTCTCATTACTAAAGCCTTTTCATTCTCATCACTAAAGCCTTTTCATTTTCATCACTAAAGCCTTTTCAATCTCTTTCATTCTCATCACTAAACTCTTTTCATTCTCTTTCATTCTCATCACTAAAGCCTTTTCATTCTCTTTCATTCTCATCACTAAAAGCCTTTTCATTCTCATCATTCTCATCCTTTTCAATCTTTTTCATTCTCATTACTAAACTCTTTTCAATCTCTTTTCATTCTCATTACTAAAGCCTTTTCATTCTCATCATTCTCATTTTTTAAAGCCTTTTCATTGTCATTACTAAAGCCTTTTCATTCTCTTTCATTCTCATCACTAAAGCCTTTTCATTCTCTTTCATTCTCATTACTAAAGCCTTTTCATTCTCATCACTAAAGCCTTTTCATTCTCTTTCATTGTCATTACTAAAGCCTTTTCATTCTCTTTCATTCTCATCACTAAAGCCTTTTCATACTCATCACTAAAGCCTTTTCATTCTCTTTCATTCTCATTACTAAAGCCTTTTCATTCTCTTTCATTCTCATCACTAAAGCCTTTTCATTCTCATCACTAAAGCCTTTTCAATCTCTTTCATTCTCATCACTAAACTCTTTTCATTCTCTTTCATTCTCATTACTAAAGCCTTTTCATTCTCATCACTAAAGCCTTTTCATTCTCTTTCATTCTCATCACTAAAGCCTTTTCATTCTCTTTCATTCTCATTACTAAAGCCTTTTCATTCTCTTTCATTCTCATCACTAAAGTTTTTTCATTCTCTTTCATTCTCATCACTAAAGCCTTTTCAGTCTCTTTCATTCTCATCACTAAAGCCTTTTCATTCTCATCACTAAAGCCTTTTCATTCTCATCACTAAAGCCTTTTCATTCTCTTTCATTCTCATCACTAAAGCCTTTTCATTCTCATCACTAAAGCCTTTTCATTCTCTTTCATTCTCATCACTAAAGCCTTTTCATTCTCTTTCATTCTCATCACTAAAGCCATTTCATTCTCTTTCATTCTCATTACTAAAGCCTTTTCATTCTCTTTCATTCTCATTACTAAAGCCTTTTCATTCTCTTTCATTCTCATCACTAAAGCCTTTTTCATTCTCATCACTAAAGCCTTTTCATTCTCTTTTCATTCTCATCACTAAATCCTTTTCATTTCTCTTCACTAAAGCCCATTCTAAATCTTTCATTCTCATCACTAAACTCTTTCATTCTCTTTCATTCTCATTACTAAACCTTTTCATTTTTTTTTCATTCTCATCACTAAAGCCTTTTCTTTTTCATTCTCATCACTAAAGCCTTTTCATTCTCATCACTAAAGCCTTTTCATTCTCTTTCATTCTCATCACTAAAGCTTTTTCATTCTCTTTCATTCTCATTACTAAAGCCTTTTCATTCTTTTTCATTCTTATCACTAAAGCCTTTTCATTCTCATCACTAAAGTCTTTTCATTCTCTTTCATTCTCATCACTAAAGCCTTTTCATTCTCTTTCATTCTCAGTAACTTTTAGTATTTTAATGTCATTATCACTTTGCTTGGGATGGAATGATTAAAAATAATAACATGTTTTTTTTTATCAGAAAAATTGTAAGTGCAACATGAATATTGGATGCTGGACTTTAATCAGAGTGATTGCAAAAATTACGAAGAAGAGAAAAAAAGGAAAATATAAATTTTATTGGATGCAAAACACATGTGCAGAAGGTTGGGAAAGATATTGGCCAAAAAGATTAAAATGCTTTTTGTACATGCTTTTTCTTTCATTATGTAATTTCTTATCTAACTGTTCATGTTGCAACAGAATATGATATAAATTTGGAGTATAAAGTCAGATTTCAAAAAAGGCGATCAAAAATTTCTCAAGCCCCCTTGACACTTCCCTCATTGTGATGCCTTAAGCACTGGCTAGAGGTGAGGTACTGCCTGGCAGACAGCCCCTCGGGCTTGAGCTGATATTATTTTCAACTTCCCCAGCAAGTGCCAGTATCTTCATTATCATAATATATATATATATATATATATATATATATATATATATATATATATATGTGTGTGTGTGTGTGTGTGTGTCTCATTAAATAATTTAAACAAGATTTCTACTTATTTTTAATAGGATCTTCTCGTAATTACAGACAAGTTTCTTAGAATCCTTATTAAAGGAAGAAAGAAAATTACCATGTTGATGCATATTCCTTTTATTCCAAGTACATTTTACATTAGCACAATGTCGTCATCTGGGCCTTGGTTTTTCTAAGACAAAAATTTTTTGTTCATCATTTTTCTAATACAAAATTGTTGTGGTCATCTGAAAATCAAATCTATATGTATGAAGTGAAAAACACTAAGGTTATGTGCCATACGATTTTCATATTTTATCATGTAAACTTCTCTAAATTATTTAATGAGACATGTATAAATGAAAAAATGCTGCCAAAATATATATATATATATATATATATATATATATATATATATATATATATATATATATATGCATAAAGTGCCTAATATCACGGATAGAGCATATGTAAATATAAAAGTGGTTAGTGAAGCTGAAGTCAACACCAAGCAGTGAAAATCTGAAAATCATGTACTGTTATAGGACCTTACCCATAATAACATAATGGACTATTCCATATGTAATAAATACTGTGCCCCAAGAGGAAGCAGGGAGTTCAGTCCGAAGTCAGGCGACCAGCAGATTGGCTGATCGGTTGAACTCTCTGCCTTCGGGCGGGGAGGAAGCCAAACAAGTCTACGCCGAAGGGCAAAGTCTCTTTCGGGGAGGTAAACCGACCCTGAACCCATTTATACAGGTTCAAAGGGCATATTTTTGGCCGAGCCCATGAGATCGGAGATCCCACATTAAACCGGCCTTGTGCCACATGATACCGTTCTGTCTGAAGTCTGGAGTGAGGTCCATCAGAAGTCTGTCAGTCAGTTAGAGCGAGGGAGTCAGTCAGTCGAGTCAAGAGTCGAGTCAGAGGCTGTCCGAAACAGAGTCGTGTTCAGACAATTACTACAAGACATTGAAATAGTGAGACTGGTTGAGACTACATTGTTCTCCCTACTAAACCTGATTGTTCGTACTAACACTTTCTACTTCTCTGTATATATTCCTGTTTGTAATATATCTGTGTTATTCCATATCCGTGTTTGAGTTCTTCTTTATTGGTTCTAGCTTGGACCATACCATCATCGTGGTACAAGGACCTGGACTATAACATGTACCATGCAGATGGCCTGAAGATTATGTAGCAAATTGTTGCTGGTCAGTGTTGACCTCAGTATTCACTTCATATATCTCCAAATGTAAAAGAACAAAAAGAATATGAATTCAAATGTTAATAACATTAATTTAAGAAAAATGCTTCATACAAGAGTAGAGCAATAAATACTTAATATAAACTATTACATTGGAACATGCAAGTTACCACGACAAAAACACATATTTGTTAATGATGTTAATCATTTATTACCACCCAACAAGACATAAAAACAAATATGCATTTTTATCGTGGCAACCAATATTTTTGTACGAAAATCGAGATCTGATGAATTAGGACCAAGATCCTGGTCCTTATGAAATAAATTATAATCCCATGAACCCTTAAAGTTATCTATTTCTTAATATAATTAATATTTGCTCTGTTTTTACATTGAGCTCTCTGGATTACATCCTCCTTGGAAATATCCATATGAATTACCAAATAACTTCATTATATATATATATATATATATATATATATATATATATATATATATATATATATATATATATACACACCTGACCGCTAGTATTTTCTGGCATCAATAATTTACAACACAGATAATCTGGTTTCTTTCAAGAAAATGGTACTGACCAAGTTTATGCAAATGTAAATTTTCATAAGCCTTACAGATTTTGTGCTTTTGAATACGTTTATATGGCCTATATTATGAAACAACCTAATGTAAAGCCCTGAAATTTTTAGGAGGGATATTTTTTCACCACAAGCAAGACAATAATGCCACTATAATATAAATCAGGACCAGGTGTGAATGAGAAGGAAGAAATCTTCATGCTTAATTAAGAATGAAAAACACCCATGTTTAAATGAAATCATCAGGCCATGTGATGATTGCATTTAAGCATGGGTGTTGACATTAATGTCCACTTTCATGTTTATGTTATATATATATATATATATATATATATATATATATATAGATAGAGAGAGAGAGAGAGAGAGAGAGAGAGGTTAAATAATATAAGAACAATATAAATTTTATTTGTAAATAAATTTAAAAGGTATACATCGTAGCAACATATATTTGACTCACAAAATATACCAGTAACCTAAAATTATTTTTTTATTTATTTTACATGATAATAACAGTTCCTTGGCACTTTATAATTTTTATCAGTATTTAAATTTTTATTGCTTCTTAGAGATCTTTGTTCAGATATTGCTGGCCATTCTCAAACAGAGTAGGCCCCAATATTAGCGAAGTTTAGGAATAAAATGAAAACTTTCCAATTCTCAAATCCAATCATAATAAAACTTGTAGTAAATACTTTAAAACTTGCTTTAAACAATGGAAAATTGGCATAACAAATAGAATCAAGTATAAAAAAAAAGAATCAAGAATAAAAATAGTTTATTAAAAATATAAAGCAGCCAAAATTAGAAAAACAAACATTGCCACTTACATTTTGAAATTACTTTTGAAAAATAAAAATGTTATAAAGAAAATATGACAACATTCATCTTTATGTGTCATGTCTCCTCAAGACATAGGTGATCATGGCTCTCCACATTTTCTGTCCCTTGTAGCTTTTAACAAATTTTATCTTTTTGTAATTTCTCCTAAACCTTTTTTTTTTGTCATTCACAAGCTCATTCTTCTATGCGTTATGTCTCTTCTGGTTGTAGGTGACCATGGCTCTCTACAATTTCCTGTCCTTTGTAGATCTTGTCTTTTGTTATCCCTCCTAAACCCTATTCTGCCATCCATTAAATCAAACTCACTATGTATGTTATGCGTTATTTTCCTCAATCCCTTTTGCCCTCAATCTGACTGTGAGTATCAAATTTTCCAAGCCTTTTTCCTCATCATGAAATTTCAACACTCTCTTTCTGATGTTAAGTATAAGTTTTCTGTTTTTCTCCATTTTCTGTGAAACTGTTATCCCCATCATCTTTCTGTAGAATCAGATTTCAAGTCTCTTCTTCATCTCTGAGGAAATCGTCCAGCACTCATTACCATACAGGAGTAGAGATTTGACATAACATTTCAGCACTCTTTTTCTTGTTTCTAATGAAATTTTCCTATTTCTTAGTACTCTGCTTAGCTTTTGAAAAGCATCTTTGGCTATCCCAATATGTCTTTGGATTTCAGTGTCTCACTTTCCATCTTGTTAAAACACTTTCCAGATATTTAAATTTCCGAACTTGTTTGATTTTGGTATCTCCAATTCGCATTTTGGGCCGCTAAGCAACCATGCACTCTGTCTTCTTGCAGTTGATGTTTAATCCTTTCTTCTCACTTTCACCAGACAGAGAAATTGCAGTAAGTGGCATATATTACCCTGGAACCATGTCCAATAGAAACCCTTTTTTTACTGAATATATCAGCTGAAATTGTTTAAATTTCCAAACTTGTTTGATTTTGTTATCTCCAATTTGAAATTCACACTTTTGGAAAAGTATAATTTCTAGAACATTAAAATTTTATGATGACATCAGCCAGTTTCAAGAACAAAAAGGAAATATACATAAAATGGCTCAGCTGAATCAGGCAACTTGAAGAATCTCCATGGTGTATTTTGACATGGCAGCAAGCATTGTGGGTCAGATGACTGGAAAATTTCTCAGGAACATGTCTCAATAGAGAGTATCTAGTTGTTTATGTGAAACAGTTTCCCACCATTAAACTCTTCACCAGCAAGAACCCAAAAACTAGACTAAATTTGGAAACAGGAATGTATTTTGGACCAGAGAAAATTGAGTAATAGTGTTCTTCATTGATAAAAGTAAGTTTAATTTGGTTGGCTCTGATAGTAAACAGTATGTTATACAGTAGAACAGTGGGAATTGGTTTTCCAAATCTATGAAAAAAAAAAAATCAGTTAAATTGGGAAGTAATAGTGTATTGGGATTGAAAATATATCTTACATATTTATAAGTCTGTCATTCATCTCTACATTGAATTTTTGCTGCCAGATCTGGTTTGGTGCTCCTGTTATGTACTTAGAGATTCTTGATAAAATACAAAGAAGAATATGCAATGTTATTGGTCCTGACCTGGCATC